TGGTTGAAACTTCTACTTCCGCTGTTGTAGTGCATCCCTTATCCGAGACAAAAATCTGAAATCTCTGTCCTATTTCATCAATTACACAATAAAAGAAAACAATAAAATACAGCCAATGATGTGATAATCATACTCTCTTCCTTTCCTCCATTCTTTTCTCTCTCGCTTGCCTTCCATTGGGTTTTGTCATATTGCTTGTTGCCAAATTCCACCCACAACCGTATGAAACATTTTTATTGCCGGAGTAAATTTAGAATAAGTTTGTACTTTAGTGTTTATTTAATAGTGTGAGCTGGGAACGTATTTTAGGTGTCTATGAGTGTAGGCTGCTGTATTTAATAATGGCATTGCTCCATATTGGCTGGATTCCACCACCCTCATTCTTGTCTGCTATTGTCTGTCTCATACATTGTTCTATTGTTTCTTTCCTCAGCCATATACATATGCATAAACAACACACACACTACACATTTAGTCCCAGCAGGAACAGTCAGATGTTTCTCTTGCCCACATCTGTGATATCTTGTAAACATGAATATTCTTTGTACACCTGACATGCCTTCGCTTCCCTTTCATTCAATCCAGTTCGACTCAAGGTTTACTGGTGAGCATGATAATTGGAGAATAGTATTGGAAAAGCACTGGTTATGAACACACTTTTTTCAAAAAGAATAGGCCTATCACAAGCGAATTAACTTACTGCCAAGTATGTCTACATTGTTGTTATTTTCTGTAATTTTTAATATACATTTAATAAAACATTTCAGTTATAGACAATGGCTATTAAAATATAAAAAATTAATAAATGCATAAATAAAAAGTGGTTAAAAAGGGCTAGTTCACTGGAAAATTTTAAGGTTTTGTTGTGGAGCACCTATGATATGGGAATTTCTGAACTTCCGAGCTCCAAAACTACAAAAAAGGATCACAGAAATAATTCTACGACACTATATTCCAAGTCTTCTAAAGTCATACAACAGTTCTGTGTGAGCAAAAGAACGGAATTTAAGTTGTTATTCCCTGAAAATCTCCCCTTCCACCATTAAAACCTGCCATATTAATTGCACACACGAGAATGTTATTGTTTACTCAAGTGCAGTGCAGTGAACTTTACCATATAAGGAGAAGAGGGAGGACACTGCTCACAAACGTCATTGCTTCTCTTTTGTTTAAATGCTGCAAATTGAAATGTGAGGTAGTGCACAAGATGTGAGAACTACTGTATTAGGGAATTCTCCCGCGCTCCACTTGCAATACCTCTACAGATCTCTAGGGGTCGCGCCACACAACTTTGAGAACCACTGATGACTGATAGTTAGTAGCAGTTTCTTTAACATTCATATTTCACATACTTGTATGTCTTATTATGTTTAAAATGTAAAACCTGTTCATTTCCAACTGCCATTACCATTACTGATCAGGATCAAAAATAGGCCTAATAAGCAGTGTCTTTTTTTTTGGTGGGGGGGTGTAAAGCACATATGCAGACAAATACATTCACAACACACAGACACACACATTTAATAATAGTTTGTGTCATTGTTGAGATCTCTTCACAAGGCAAAGTCTCCATTTGCTCTTTCGTTGTTGTCTAGGAGATGCAAGTGAGATTTCTTTCAATATTTTTTTCTTTCCATGCTCTCTTCCTTCCTTGTGGTTTTATCTCTTTCTTCCACCAGAGAATATATACATGAGCAAACTTTGTGAGTGTCTGACTACTTAAAGGCAGAAATTAACACAATAAATTCTGAACCTAAGCTGACTTTTTACACAGCTCCAAAAACACATTTCCTAAAAAGAATGAACCCCCCCTTCCAGTTCTTGGAATTCATAGTACACAGTTCAAAATCCTCCCTGATAAAGCCAAAATTGGTGTGCTTCAGATTTTACTAGGCAGATGTCATCTGTGTTCTCACAAACATTCTCTGCTCATACAAAACAAATGGGGGGATTCATGAGGTGGAATTGCTCAGCGACAGAAGCCAGGAAGAACATATTCTGACCAAAATCTGTTGTGTTCTGATGTCTGTATCTGTGAGTCAAAAACTGTATCAGAACAGAGGAAGCAATTCCAGCTCTTCACATCAATTATGTAAGAAGATAACAGTCAGTAAACACTTCACACAATAAACGCTGTATTCTCCCGATACCTCCTTCAAAAACATGACAATATGTGCAAATGAACTCCCATGTTCATCAAGCTGTCAGAGAATAACACACCACCATGTTTCTTCTCATTCTTCTTATGTAAATTCGTCCCATCACGTCAGTGTCAATCCCACAGTGAGTAAATATCATCCGTGTGATTACTCTTCATATGCAATACTGCCGTCACACACTGTTTAGCAATATTGGACTAAAATGCATTAGGATGATGTCACATTCTGAACTTAATGAACCAAATAAACCCCAGATTTCAACACAGGAGGCAGAGCGGGAAACATTCCGGGTCATGATGTGCTGAAGAGGTTTGGGGGAGAGGGACATGACCTTAAATATTCCAGCTTGTGAATGCCAAATACATCTGTGTTTGTCTGACAGAGAGAGAGAGAAAGAGAGCATCTCTATTTTTGTTCAGGGAAAACAAAACCTTTCAAAATGTGTTTTTTAAAAAGAAAAATGTTTTGAAAAATGCAAGAGGTCATTAGGGTGGATCAGTTGAAACGATCGAGAGAGAAAAAAAAACATGAATTATAACCCCAGGTATTTGTACCTTAGGGGATTCAGTACACATACAGTATATACTTTATATAAATACTGAAATGACTTCTGGTCGCAATGAAAATTGTCTTGCCCTTGCGCTCACATGTACGCAGAATTCTCCTTGAAAAACTCCTGCAATTTTTCTGTGGAGAATCTACCCTGTAATTTCTGCATAAAACCATTAGCCTTCCATATCTGTCCTTGGTTTACCAAGCATCATAACAAACATTTCTTTCGTCGTCTGCGGTAACTATCATTGCTGTGCCTCCGCATTTCCTGTTGACATCTCGGAAATTACTGACATTTTTGGCCAACGTCATCCAAATATCATAATTGCCCATTCTTTCCTGTGAGTTACTCTGGTCTCATTTCCTTATGATACCAGATGCAAATGAGAAGATCTGTTCATGGCTGGGAGAGCTAGGAGGCGAACACTGTATTTAATTATGTTTGAGTTCAAATACTGTAGACAGACCATGTTCCAATTTAGAGTTTGTAACAGCTAACAGTGAATTTCAGATGCTTTCTTTTCAGACAGGTTTTCTGAATGATTCTCACCACTCATGCCCTCACTAATGAATGCAACCATGACTGTATACAGCTCACAAAAAAATAATTAAATTAAAAAAAAATTTGTATCACAGTCCAGCATCACAGAAACACACTGACACATGCTAATTAATCAGAGTGTAATGCAACACTCAAAATGTCAACACTGAGCAACAGTCCACTTTTAAAAGAATATTCTGTACAAATTATGTTCAGTCAAAAGCATTTGAGGCACAATGTCAATTACCACAAAAATACATAATTAAAAAAAGCCATCAATGGAAGTAAATAGGGGCCGATTTCTGGAAGACTTAACAGCAGAAATGTGAACCTAAATGAAAAGCACTCACCTTAATTCTTCTATTAAAACCTGTAAGGTAAGAGTTGCAAATCATTCCTTTTAAATTTACAATCATTTTTGGGTTCTGGGTGTTCCTAAAAGGTAGTAAAATTGCATATGACTTCATACAGAAAAGTAGAGAAGTTATTTTCCCCACATGAATATATAGTACTTTTAAACCATAGGTATTTTAACTAGACTTTAAATAGACTAGCCTCATTTACTTTTACTGTAAGTGCCTTTTTAATTTTTTTTTTTTAAAGAGAAAATAATTTTTAAATTTTTTTAGAGAAAATAAATAGTGGTTATCAGCATTATTCCACTACCATTTTAGATTGCACTTAACTTGTACTGAATGTGGAATTTTCCTTTAAAACCACAAACGTTCCGTATCATCCATACATAAATATATGTACATCTGTGACATTTTAAGACACCAATCCCATGCATACCTGTACCATGTGTGCTTATTTAGATCTGGGTCAACGTTTCATTCAAAACATCCTTTAGAAAACAATTATCTGGATTCCATTTCTCATGCTTGCGTAGCATAACACACACTCCAATTCAGGAGAGGCAAGTTGAGGGTGGCCCAGACTGCAGGTAGGAACATGCAGTTATAATTATAAATGACAAAGAAGTCTCTCAGCTCTCAGCCAGCAGAACAGGAGTAATGAGGAGCTACAGTATGTGATGTATTACTGATCATGCAGGACTGGAGTCATGCTGTGACTGTGCCCCTTAAGTCTTAACCTTGGTAAGGTAGTCTTAATGTGGATACATATGAGAGGCCTGCTGATCTATTAACGTCATCATAAATAATCTCCATGTGCTTGTTGCTGTTAGATGACACATCTGTGGGTTTCGCAGATGGGTGGAGGTGTGCAGCAGATCATGCATGCTGTGATAACTGTATTCAATGTATCTTTAAAGATTCTGGGAGTAGTAAATGTCACACAAGTGGGGTTTTTTATGAAGCGTATGAAGAAAAAAGCTCACTCTGTTTATGGAAAGTCTTCTGGATGAATTTACAAACAACAGACAAATTATTTTTCCTTTTTGATTTATAGCAGAACAGTGCTGATTCAGGAAAACAAAGTGTTTCTGAAGCGTTGAGATACTTGGCCAGACCGTTGCAGTTATTCCGCTGTTGCGCAACTTACTTTCAGGCAGGCCTTGGCCTCAAAACACACAGGAGGTAAATCCAAGCAAACATTATGTGTCTTTAGAGAGAGAGAGAGAGAGAGAGAGAGAGAGAGAGAGCGAGAGAGTGAGCGAGAGAGAGAGAGTTGCAGTTGATCTGGAATTTCCACATTGGACTTTATCCATTACCAAAACAACCTCTCTCTCTTTTCTCAAATCTAAACCCCCACTGAGCTGTGGGCAGGTCACAGGCTCATAAAAAAATGCCTCTCACACTCACGTGCTTATAAACAGACCCCTACAGGAGAGAAACAGCCTCAGTCCCACAAAGAAACGCCAGTGGATAAAAGGGAAATTGCAGAGGAACTAAAGAAGAAGAGTAAAAGCTGGTTTTGATGATCACACCACATTGCCAATCAGCTTTTGGGGATATGATGATAGTTATTGGCACAGGCGATTCAGAAATTCTGCAATAAAATCACACTATTAGACCGTGATTTCAACAGTCAGGATCTGACTCTACAAGAGGTCTGTCGGTTTTTCAGAGACTGGTGCACAAATTCCTGAAAATATATTTCTTGCATCTTTATCGGTGAGTATTTCTTGATTCCTTCTGAGCAAATTTCATTTAAAATAATTTGCTAATTTTTTTCTTTAAGGTTTTTTGGGATTATTTAGGTTTTAGTTTTTTGCCTTTAGGTTATGATCTGTGTATTTTGCATTATATCAGCCTATGTACTTTTGAAGTAGCAAAATAAACCATAAATTAAACGGTGCACTCAAATGTACTATGTGCAGACCATAATTAAATTTGATTACACCGTCATCGCCTGTGGTGGCCCAAAAAAAACAAGCATTTAAATCACTCAAGCAGAAATATAATCATCTACAGCCACAGCACTTGCACCAAATCTGAAATTAAAAGTGTGAATGGTGTTCTTTTAGTGCACTTTGTAATAGCCATTACTTGTGGGTTTAATTTAACTTTATTTTCCTTACGGTGTATGGTGTTGTCTCTTATTTTTCAGAAATGAATTTAGACTCGGTTGCAATGACAGATCTCAGTGGAAAGATGCATAAACCGGAGACAGTGTGCGTCTTTGGAACAGGTGATTTTGGACGCTCACTGGGGCTCCGTTTGCTCCAGTCGGGATACAGTGTTGTATATGGATCCAGGGCCCCTAAAAACTCTCTGTTGCTGCCTAAGGGGTCAAAGGTCATGACTCATGCAGCAGCAGCTTGTGATGCACATGTGGTATTCGTGGCTGTGCAGAGGGAGCACTATAGATTTTTGAGCTCCCTGGCTTCAGATCTTGAGGGAAAGGTGCTGGTAGACGTTAGCAATAATCTCAAGAGGGGTCTGTACCCAGAATCCAATGCAGAATACCTGAGCAGGCTGGTTCCAGGGGTGACGGTAGTCAAAGCCTTCAACACCATCTCTGCCTGGGCACTGCAGTCTGGAGGACTAGATGCTAACAGACAGGTAAAACACACATAAACACAATTCATTCAGATGGACAGAATATACTTAGAGGCGGGTAAAACCACAAATAGCAAATAAATTTAATATTTTTTCATGCTTCCACAAATTCACAAAAATAAACACATTTTGTTCAGACGAAGCAATCAAAGAACTGTAAAATTAGTGAGAGAAAATTATTAAGACAGAAATTCCCATGCATCAATCTCCAAATTTTGCTGTTAATCGTTTAAGCAACAAGGGACAAAGCACAGAGAAGCTCTTTTGAACATTGTTTAAAATTTAATGAATCAAGCGGTAACACTTTATTTTAGGGTCTCTTGCCTAGTTGCTTATTAGCATGCATATTACTAGAATATTAGCCATTTATTAGTACTAAATAAGCACATATTAATGCCCTATTCTACATGATCTTATTCTACATCTCTAATCCCACCCAATACCTAAACCTAACAACTACCTTACTAACTATTAATAAGCAACCAATTAGGAATTTATTGAGGGAACAGTCGTAGTTAATAATGAATAAGTGTTTCCTATTCTAAAGTGTTACCAATCAAGCTTAACACACTCTCACAAAACAGCCTTGAATGAAGGTGTTTGTATGAGCTTTTGTCATTATAGTATGAACAAAAAGACAAATCAGACATGATAAATGGCATACCGCTGCACGTCATATTGTACTTCATTTCTACTGCGAGGCAGCTGGATGACATATATCATACAACAAAAATGTACAGCTTCTCTACAAAGTACAAAAGAGCCATTAATGCATGTATAAATGTCTGTGTCCATGGCATAATGCTCTGTTATAGCAGTTCATTGTTCGTGAAATTAGGCAAGAGTCTCCCTCTTAGCAATAGACTAGAGTAGAAAGAGTCTTTTTGTAGAAAAGTCATATTTACACCAGCAGGTGGTGGTTGAGAAACTGGCCAGATGGAATCTGAGCTCTGGCAAACTATTATTATCGCTATGTTAGTGCGTATGTTCTTTGACACCTGTTTGTGTGCTTCTCAATAAAAATGAATAGTCACACCCTGCCAAGCAGTCTATTTGTTATTATTTCTCATTTTGATTATAATTTCTTGTTCTTTTTTCCAAAGGCCAACTGTGACAACATATTGTATTGTTCAGGCTCACACAGCACATTGCTGTGAACTAAATTTAATTCCCAGAGGATATTTCACTGCTGTCTGAAACTATTAAAGAAGCATTTTGTTTCAAAAGGTTGTGTAGGTCAATAGAATGGCAACTTGTTAGAATAAGTCAAAAACAATCAAACCACTTGAAAATAATTTGCTGCATGAGTAGTTTTTGTGGTAACACTTTACAATAAGGTTCTCTTTGTTAACATTACTTAATGCATTAGGTATCATGAACTAACAATGCACATTTTGTACCACATTTATAACTATTTAGAATTTATAAATTAATTGTTAATTCACAATACATCAATGTCAATTTAAGCAAATCCTAAAAATGTATTAAAATTTGTCGTAATTAACAGTAACATAGATTAAATATGCACTATATGCAAGATTTTCTGAGTATGACATAGCAATGTTCCATTACGAAATTGAAAAAAATCAATGTTCAAAACTGGTTTCCTGTCTTTCCCCATTATCTGTGACAAGCCTACAATAATGTTTTTGTGCAATCGGGTCAGATTTGCAGTCCCAAGTTCTGTAGCAGTGCACCTAGTAGTGACTTTAATGTTGATTTCTAAATATAGTCTGCTACTACTTATTCTTAATTCATGTTCATTAACAATAAATTATCTAATATTAATGTACGCAACTAATAACTAAATTAATTGATACTATAACTTGAAATGTTAATAAAAATGTTTTAGTAACCAATACAAAAATCAACATTAAATGGTGTAAAAGTAATGTTCATTGTTATTTCATGTTAATGCCTTTGCATTAACTAATATCAACGTTTTTGGTAATAGCAGATAGCCTAGATAATAAAATGTAGGCCTGCACAAAATATTATGCAACAATGTATCTTAAGTGAATTATTTCTGTTTTCTGTGACACAGTTTTTTTTATTCTTCATTTATTTAGGTACTTATCTGTGGAGACTGTGCTGATGCAAAACAGCAAGTGGTGGACATTGCTCAAAGTCTTGGCTTCACTGCGCTGGACAGAGGCTCCCTCCGAGCGGCGGCTGAGTTAGAAGATCTACCCTTGCAACTCTTCCCTCTCTGGAGACTTCCTCTCAACATCGCCATTTGTTTAACAGCTTTCATATTCTTCTACGCACTCACAAGAGATGTTATCTATGAGCGTGTTACCAATGGTAAAGACATCGCTTTTCGCATTATGATCTCGCTGGCCAACAAGGCCTTTCCCATCGTCTCTCTGGTGATGCTGTCCCTCTGTTACCTGCCGGGTGCATTGGCTGGATTTCTGCAACTTTATAACGGCACTAAATACCGTCGCTTCCCTGATTGGTTGGATCGCTGGATGCTGTGTAGGAAGCAGCTAGGTCTGTTAGCACTGGCCTTCGGTTTTCTACATGTTCTCTACACTTTAGTTATACCTATCAGATATTATGTACGCTACAGGATAAATGTCTACACTATATCACTGGTAAGTTGAATACTTTTAAGAATACTATTCTAATATGGGCAGTTCATTTACTACCAAACAGCTCTTTAAACTCAATAAGAAGTCAAAATTAGCTTTCCCGAAATCAAAACAAACATCTTTCCCTATTTATGTCATAGGCCTACATAGGGTATTATTGGTATTCTTGTGAAAATTAATTTTTTCTTACTTGCTTTCTTTCTTTCTTTCTTCACAAAAATAGTACCTTCATAAATTTTCAAGGTGCAGTAAGAGATTCCTAAGAAATGCTGTTGAATGTGGATCGGATCGAGCGCCAAAGTACCTTGTAGCCAATCACCAGTAAGGGGCGTGTCCACATATAATGGGGGAGGTGCCTGTGTTGCATAGCATGTTTGTGAATTTGGGGGCAGATCTATCAAGACAGGGGTAGCCTACAATCCTTTTAGGTAGGGGAGCATTTGTTTTGGTGATTTCAAATATCAACAGTGTTTCTCAGAAATCACTTACTGCGCCTTAATGCACTAAATTTCTAAAAAATATAATGCTCTACATTTCAATCCTGGCTGACATCAAGAAGTATATGGAACACCCACTTTTTAAGATCCAACAAATTCACGAGTTCATCAAAATAAGTCCCGCCCTAATTTTTTCTTGTTTAAGATCCTGTTTCACTAATAATAAATGTCATATTACTAAAGTATATTGAGTTGCAAATGCTGTTTGATGACTTCACAACTTCTAGTTTACTACAGGCTACATTAGCTATGAAAAATTGTGACACAAACACAAAACTTGTACACTGACTAAAGGATAAAGCTAAGGAACTAACTCATGGTGTTTTTCAGGTAAAAGATAATAATACCTATGAGTTTGACAACACGGCGGCCTGGCGTTATGACTCCTACTATTCCATGGGAATTCTTGGATTTGGGCTGTTTGTCCTACTAGGAATTACATCCCTTCCATCTGTGAGCAACTCCCTAAACTGGAGGGAGTTCTGTTTTGTACAGGTATTACATTGTCAGTCTGTGGAAATGCATACATTTGAGTGTCACTGAAGATTATTTTACTAAGTTTAGAAAGCATAATACAATATGGACAATGTTGGGGTTTTTTGTCCGGACTGAGAGCTGAAAACACAGTATTGATCAGAACAAATGTATCCGGAATGTATTTAAAATTTCAATGTTGAATTTTTCACACATTGACAATGATGTTTGATCAAATAATTTTTCTTCCTTTCTTTTACAGTCCAAACTGGGCTACATCACCCTGTTGCTCTGTACTGCTCACACATTTCTGTATGGCTGGGACAGATTTCTGAAACCTGCATCATATAGGTGGTGGATGCCTCCAGCATACATGTTGTCTCTGGTGGTCCCCTGTGTGGTTCTGATTCTAAAGCTAATCCTGATCACTCCATGCGTGGACCGCAATGTCACCCGTATCCGTCAAGGCTGGGAGAGACAGGGCAAGATATCAGCAAATGGCAGAGACACAAAGACAAACCATCCACTCATAGCATAGCAATCGTTTAACTGTATGAAAACTGTGTGTTGGACTTGCCCTGATCTCTTCTGCTGAAAGTGAGTTTAAAATGTTGCAATGAAAAAGTGCAGAGAACTAAGACTTAATTGAGCAATTGACTTGGGACTCAACTTGGACTCAAAATTAGAGACAACACACATCTTTAGGTCTAAAAGAAAGGAGACATATTTCCAGAATACCACCATTGTTTAAGCAAGAGGAAGTCCATCAGGCACAAAAAGTATTTCTTGCTTACTTATATTTTGACTGTCCCATATTTTTCAGTGACTTTTTCTACAGGTTACAGTGTTACACCAGTAGGTGATGACATAGCTGTGTAACCAGTCACATGAAATGTACAATTTGTTAAAACATTACTTCATTTAGGCACAAAACAAGTCATCATCTTTATGAACAAGTCATTGCAGTCACTCTACTGATTCATTCAAAACACTGATTCAGAAACTAAACACATTTACTGCACAATGCACAATTCTGCTTTGGTTTTGTCTGGATTTGATCTTGTTGGCAGAGTCATAGACTTTAGACTTGACTTGGACTCGTGACAGAGACTTGAGAACACATCTGCTCAAGTGTATGGAAGCCCAGATGAGAGCTAGAGAGAGTTTGACTTCTCAATACACCTCACTACACTGCTGAGCGGCAGTTTCAAATTACAGTTAACCAACCGTGGGAAATTCTTTGGAGCTGATCCTCCAACTTACATTGGTGATTACATCTCACATGATCTCACATTACTCTATAACCTACAAATTGCATTTAAGGCCTCTTTACACTTGGGACATACTCACAAATGCATATATATATGTTTTGACCATATATTCATAGCGCATCGCAACATAACCAATCCATATCATCTGTGTTCATGTTAGAATTTGTCTATACCCTTTAAAGAATACAAAGGAATACAGAAATGGTGGGGCTTTTATTAGAGCACACTTTTCTGTATTGTGTAACGCACTTGTCTTTTTTATTACCTGCTTCCTCTGGGCTGTTTCCTCTCAAGAGCCTCCCAGTGGGCTTTTCGCTTTAGATATCATCGATCCAAAACTGAGCAGCAACTTACTTCTTGATCTGTTTCTGGGTCTGGGCTTTCCTGTCTGCAGGAAAGCTCATCTTTCTCGCTCTTGTGAAGTATAAAGGAGTTGTCAATCACATCGGCATTCACCTTCACCGGTGGATGGCCCTTTCTGTATAGTGCTTTTATGAAGAATTGCAAGCTGCAAAGAGTGTAGCTTAGACCAAAATAGCAAGGCTCATTTTGTGACAAATATAATTGAAAATATGTGGGCGCACCTTTGAAGAAAACTAATAACTTTATTGGTAACACTTTACAATAAGGTTCATTAGTTAACATTAGTTAACTACTTTAGTTAACATGAACTAAGCATGAACAATACTTCTACAGTATTTATTAATCTTAGTTAATGTTAATTTCAACATTTACTACTGCATTATTCAAATCAAAAGTTGTGCTTGTTAACATTAGTTAATGCACTGTGAATTAACATGAACTAACTATGAACAACTGTATTTTCATTAACTAACCTTAACAAAGATGAATAAATACTGTAATAAATGTATTGTTCATTGTTTGTTCATGTTAGTTAATACATTAACTAATGGAACCTTATTGTAAAGTGTTACCACTTCACTTATACTGAGCAAAACAGCACAACTCTGAGTGTGTTTATCAATGAATATTGGATATTCACTGATTTTGATTTTATTTTTGTATTACGTATATAAAATAAAAACTGAAATGCACAGCATTCTGACATTTACACTTGCATTAATTTTAAAAAATCATGTTTTATATGCATGGATGCTTGGAAGGACTTAGCCATCACTGGCAGGCAAAATCATGCTGAAAATAAATTTCAAATAAGGTCTGATTGCATCTATTTAGACAAATTGAGGAATACTTTATTGGTTTTGTTGGTTGCTAGTACAATTTCTTACATTGTATATGTTAGATTTAATATATTCTATTCTCTCTCTCTGTATACATATATGTTATAAACAAAGCTGAACATTATAATTAATAAATAATAGTACATGCAAATTTAAATATATAAAGTTAGTACAATAAGTAAAAAATATTTTTAATGTATGTGGGTGTGTCTGTGTCTCAGTTGGCATTGTAGTCTACTCTCACAGGATCAGGAAACAGTCCTCCATAAAATGCGCTGAACACATCTGAATATTTGGGTTAAAGTGTTCTGGAACAGTGTTGTAAATACAACTTAACCACTGATTTCTAGTCGTGTCCTCTTTTGGAAGGCCAAACAAAGTAGTTTCGCTTTCACAACGAAACAGCGTCACACACCGCGGCCTTGAGTGAGCGGATGCCTAGAGTGATCCGCGGCCTAGAGTGAGCGGAGGCCAGCTTGAGTAAGCAGAGGCAGGCTGGCTTGAGAACGGCGCGGCCGGCGTATTCGACGAAGGAGCGTCCGGCGGGCTTACGGCAACCACATGTGACGACCCCGGGCTGGATTCCTCTTCATCCACGGTGAAAGCCGATCCGGCAATCCACAGCGCAAAGTTGATGTATTTCCTCAGCGACCAGCACGGATCAGCTCCAGGCATGAAGAAGCGGATATCGTCCTCTTTTGGAAGGCCAAACAAAGTAGTTTCGCTTTCACAAGGAAACACACAGCACCTTCACGACATGGCGGCAGCTGCAACAATACTACAGTGACAATAAAAGTTACGCCTTCTTTCTTTGCGTGAACATTTGGGCGGCGTCAAGCAAATCTCCCCACATTGTAATGTAGACATGTGGGGGTGTGTTAGAACGAGCCGTTTTAGGTAGGCGTGGTTGACTCTTAACTTTTATAAAGAATATCTCCTTGGATCTGAGACTTTAGTCTTTGCAACTTTACAGATCTTCTTTATGCACCAAGAGCTTGTAACACTCCAAAGAGAAAGGAAAAATTTAAATCGCATCATATGACCCCTTTAAATGACACTGAATATCTGTATCTATACCCTGACATTTAAAACAGATTCAGAGTTTAATTATTAATGAAATTCTATTATCCATCTTAAATATCAGTTTAATAATTTAAGCTAAATCATTAACCCACCATTAAGGACTTTATCAGATACCTTGGTTATTGACCTTGCAGGATAACCATGAATAAATAAGACCAATGACATTTTTGGAGCAGTCCAAATACTTTTAATTATATCTCCTGTATGTGGTCCACCCAAGTTACAGTTATCTTGTGTTGTAATGCTGTGTTTTGCGCCATTTACATAGACATATACTTTGAGACAAAAGAATTATTACTCACATACATGACAGCATCACTAATGAGATGGCAGGACGGACTTTTAATTAGAGAGATTATAATGCGATATGAGATGTCATTTCTGTTTTTGGCATGAATGACATCAAAGACGAGCAGGTAGAAGAAGAGAGAAGTCAAGCCTATGGCAATGCCGAGATGACGTCTCCAGAGTGTGAAAAGTTACACAGGCAGGTCTTCCATCTCATAGCTGCTCAGAAGCAGCTACTGTCTTAACCAAAACTCAATGATCATCACTAGCCTGGTCTCCACAGATCAACCTCTGACCACGTTGAAACTATAAAACTATATAATTTATCATCAAGCACAGTTTGAGTTCACTTAAACTATGTGCTTTCACAGGAAACAATAGTCTTTTTGAATTATTTAGGCTTGAGGAAAAAGGCAAACGAGTGTCTCTTTGAATGAAACCGTGTGCCTTTTGGGACTGCGATCAAACAATCAGCAACACACACCAAGCACAGTTGTTGTGGCCTCACCACAGACATCTCTCAGGTGATACAAAGTATCGTCATAGATGGGAATGATGAAAGGCTGTTTGGGTTACAACTCAAAAGTGTGCGTCAAAAATTCTGTGAGCATCTGTGTTTGTCTCTATAGCCTGTGTATATTTCCTCAGAAAATTCAGCACTTCTCTTGCAGAATGAAACTGGCCCCATTTCATAGACACTTTAAAAGCAACTACAATACAGCATCTTTCCTCCTCTTCCCCATACACACACACACACACACACACACACACACACATCACTCTCTATATTGCACACACTCATGCCCATGTAACTCCATCACAGTGTAATCTATTCTGGATTCCATGCAGACCTGCCTCTGTTTCAAGCGATGGTTTTCAAAACTTCTACCTCCCAAATTCTCTTCCTCTCAATCTCTCTACAGACCTACTGCAAGTCAAAATATTGTCTCTCTATGTTGCTGAAAAGATGGTAGTTTGCTTTGACAGTCATATAAAACCAGCTAGTAATGTAAATCTAAAGTTAGATTTTCTTCCAGCTCTATTTAAAAAAAGATATAAAAGTGAACCAGATTCTAAGGAAATTCACAGAACAAAGGCATTATTAGACAATACAGAATTATTAGCCTCTAAGCAAATTGAATTACAGTAAATTGGCAGAAACAGAAAACCATTTTCTTGGCTAAATGATCACAGAACTGGCAGCAAAGATCAGAAGTATCTGTAGCACATCAGGTGGGATAACATTATGCTTTCTTCAATTGCTTTTAATCTCACCAGTATCTCCTGAAGAATGAATAATGACATGCTGCTTATGTAATCGACCCGATCTGGCCCAAAAATGTCTTAAAGGGGTCATATGATGTGATTTCAATTTTTCCTTTCTCTTTGGAGTTGTTACGGGGCTGACAAGACATGAGACATGCGGATCCATGTGCAAGCTTTATTAAGCAGAGAGATCAGAAACACAGGCAGGGTCGAACAAGGGCAAACAGGTATATGGCGGGCAAGACACAAGAATAATCCTAGGGCTAGCGAAGGTCCATGAACGGCGAACAGAATCAAAAGGGGCAAGACTAAAGGGAGAAATCCAGGAAAACAGGCGAAGATCAAAAACTGAGAAAACAGACAAGGCTAGTCTAGGCTAGGAAGCTAACGAGGGCTCTGTAGTGTAGCTATCAAATGATAAATGCTAAAACAATACTCGGCAGAGGGAAGGGATCAGAGTGAGTGTTAAATAGGGAGTGAGTCATATGAAACAGCTGTGTGCAATCAGTGCTGTGTGCAATCAGAGAAACAGCTGTGTACAATCAGTGCTGTGTGCAATCAGTGCAATGAATGATGGGATATGTTGTCCGGGGTGATATGCAACAAGGTGTAGTGCGAGAGTCAATGAAAATGGAAAGGGTGACCTCCGATGGCTAGCAGACGGAAGTTCATGGACCGGATTCGTGACAGGAATGTTACAAGCTCTTGGTGCATAAAGAAGATCTGTAAAGTTGCAAAGACTAAAGTCTCAAATCCAAAGAGATATTCTTTATAAAAGTTCAGACTTGTCCACACCCCGCCCAAATGTTCACGCAAAGAAATAAGGCGTAACTTTTATTCTCGCTGTAGTATTGTTGCTGCCGCCATGTCGTGAAGGCGCTGTGTGATTCGTTGTGAAAGCGAAACTACTTTGTTTGGCCTTCCAGATGAGGACAATATCCGCTTCGTCATGCCTAGAGCTGACCCGTGCTGGTCGCTGAGGAAATACAACAACTTTGCTGTGGATGTGGATGTAGATCGCTGGATCGGCTTTCATCATGGACGAAGCGGATTCCAGCCCGGGGTCGTCACATGTGGTTACCGCAAGCCCGCCGGACGCTCCTTCGTCGAATCCGCCGCCCGCCGTGTGTGAGGATGTGTGACGCTGTGTGACGTATTTTATGGAGGACTGTTTCCTGAACAGTTTCTTACTGTTTCCTAGCATACAATGGGTCGGTGCTCAAAGGCTGTTCTATAAAGTGGGGCAGTTCCAACTTTGCAAGGACAGTCTGGCGCTTCTGACTCACAGCCTGCAAGTAAATTTTTTATATTTAAAGAATTTGCCACTGATGATTCAAACGCGAGTAGCACTTGTTGTTTGTCGTTTCTCCAATCACAAATGCAGACATGGTTTTATGTTTACGCGGCGCGATACGCAACGCGTAAAAACACAGTATAAGTCATTATAATCAGTAATTATGTCCCCACTGGTTGCAACAAATGCCTCGTTTGTAATGGGTTTTATTGTTTTTTTTGTCTCGCTGTGCCGTTCAGACAGCATCACAGACAGTGTGTATTTGCACTTGAGGTATTCGGCCAATCACAACGCACTGGATAGCTGGCCAATCAGAGCACACCTCGCTTTTCAGAACGATGAGCTTTTTTAAAAATCGACGCGTTTCAGAAAGGTGGGGCATAGAGGAGCAACAATAATGTACATTATGTGGAAAATACTATGCTTTTTAACTTTAAACTGCATAAACACATTTCATTACACCAAATA